GACCTTAAGGTTCGCAGCCCGATTCGTAACCACTACGCTACCAGAGCTCCTTGCAGAAATGTAATGATGTCTAATATCTCCATGGGAGTCCTGGACAGCTCATCACAAGCTTGGCAGTTCAAACTCACCAGCCGCTCCTTGGAAACCCTAATTAGGGTCACTATAAGTCAGAACCAACTCGACCGCACTTAACAACATCTCTGTGGAGTCTTGGTGTGTAGAATAAGCACGGGACTACTAACTGCAAGATCCATGGTTCAGCCCCACCCGTCACTTCATGGAAACTGTGTATGTACAGTGTTGCTGCAAGTAGGAACCAACTCAACAGCACTTAACAACAACAATATCTTCAGAAGTCAGAACCGACTGGACGGTCCACCAGCAACATTCCGCTTAACTGAGCCCCTGCCTCCCCCCGCCCAAAAAAAAAACAACACACTAAATGTAATACATCACATCCTGTCAAACAACATTGTCTTTGGAATATTTGTGACTGGGGGAAAAAAGGTAGAGAGCATATGGGAAAAGAAAATAATGACCATATCTGTACGATTCTGCACCAGAAATGTTTTACTTGCCATGTTGATAAGTGTGGTTGAGTCACTTCTGACTCATTGCCACCATGAGTAGGATTTCCGGGGAACAGCGGGTGGGTTTGAGCCACTGACCTTGAAGTTAGCAGTCTGGTTCTTAACCTACAACACTGTACCAGGATTTGCCTTACACACTGAAAATATATAGTCTCTTCTCTCACAAGACGCTAAGTACTTCTTTCTACCACTTTTGAGACTCATAGCATCTTGATTCCCTGACTGCTCAGCACACACACGCCATCTTTGATGTTCCTCACTCTATCCCCGGACTCTGGTGTGGCACCGTGGGTAAATGTGCCAGACCGCAAAGCCGTCTGAACTGCAAGGTCGGCGGTTCAAGCTCACTAGCTGCTTCTCGGAAACCCTATACAGGGTCACTATGGGTCAGAATCAACTCCACGGCACTTAACAACAACAACAGCTCTTTCCCCAGCTGCCCTTCTCTGGCAAGTGTCTTATCTCCACTTGGAGTGCTGGCAAGTCATCCGTCATTCCTCAGAGTTCTCAAAAAGGAACTGGCTTGTTTTGGGGGGCTTTTTTACTTCTTCCTATGAATACAACAATTGTCGTTGTTGTTGTTAAGTTCCGTAGAGTAGATTCCGACCCATATAGCAGGTTGTTTTTGTTTGTTTGTAAGTTACATATTGTAATACAAATGTGTGAATGACAGGATGGTGAAGTGCTGTAATGGAGTATCACCAAGTCTAAGTCTGCATACACAAAACAAAGTGTTTTCCATGTTGATGTGTGGTGTATGTTCTGGAATCTATGGAAACTTCTCAAAATATTTTCCCACTCACATTGTTTTTCTGCTTTGTTTCTGTGCCTTTCACATGTAGATTAAACAGGTCTGTGAGCCTTCTCAATGCATGCAAACTGCATAGATCATCACCAAGGTGAGAAGGACTAGATTTGCATGTATAACCTTAGCTGCTTCTACAGTAGTTTTAACATAATAGCTTTAAGGGGTGACTCACTGCCTCCTGTCTATAAAATCTGAACTCCAGTACTCATGATTGAAGTTAACTGATTTCCTAGATGTTCACGGGGTCCTCCAAAACCAGACTTCTTCTGTGTTTCATAACCTGCAGTTGGTCTGCATAGGTAGGAACGGCGTGGAGTGATGTCTGCCCAGCCTCTTGCTACATGACCTCACCAAAGCTGTTTTATAGGAGCTCTGGTAGCGTAGTGGTTATGAATCGGCCTATGAACCTCAAGGTCAGCAGTTCGAAACTACCAGCTGTTCCGCGGGAGAAAGATGAGGCTTTCTGCTCCTGAAAAGATTTACAGCCTCGGAAACACTATACAGGGTCACTATGAGTTGGAACCGACTCCACGGCACATAACCACCACCACCACCAAGCTGTTGCATGCCCCTGAATTTGTTTCTCCCGCTGCAAGATAGCAATAGTGCTGCTTTTGAAGGGGACTTTTGACGTGTAAATGAAAATACAGGTGTGAAGCAAAAAGGACTCAAAATCTGTATTGGCTGTTGCCGTCGTCGTTACTGTCCCTGATGAACTCCTTCATCCACTAGATTGAGTCTGAATTATTGAGAAACTAGTGGATGTCGTTATTTGATGATGGGTCATGGCTTGTCATCTCTTCAAGGATTTGTAAACAATTCTTAAAATTGCCACGGCCTTGCCATGAACTTGGAAAAGTGTCCAGGAGCCCTGGGCTGCTATCTGCTGCTGCTCTTCTTCTGTCTCTTTACCTGGATGGGGCACACTGTGCTTTTAAGAGCCTTGTGCCAAATGCTTGGAAAATGATTCCACAAAGTTAAATCGGAGGTACCCTAGTGGCACCATGGTTAAGCACTCAGCTACTGGACAAAAGGCCAGGGCATTGTGCTTCCGTAAAGATGGCCTGTGACTTTCAAGCTGCTTCGGACCCATAGCCACCACGTAGTGACTACGGGAACACTCCCATGGAGTTCCAAGGTTGTCACCGTTAACAGAAGTCGATGGCCACTGCTTTCTCCGACAGAGCAGCTGATGGGTTCAAACCACATTCCTTTTGGATAGCATTGAGCAGTTAGCCGCCAAGCCACCGAGCTCCTTTCCATAAAGGTGACAGTCTGGGAAACTCTCTGGAGCTGTTTTGTTCAGTCCTATAGGGCGCCATGTGTCAGAATAGATTCAACAACAGTAAGTTAAATCCTCTTGAACTGTAAGCACAGAGGTTTCTTTGTTCATTAGACTTCAATCCCAAATATCAGAAATTTAACACTCTCTTGAAGAGCTGTCATTTTCCTTGTCCCCAAATTGAGCCTTCTAAAAATTCACATTTCGACATTAAAAGGACTCCATGCAGACTCCAATGTTAAGATTCTGACGTAGTCAAGAGAGAAGAGTATGAGCGGAGCGTGGGATCCAAAAAATATTAAAGGATTCTGTTGTAAGGCCAGCACTCCCTTGGGTACCGAAAAGACGAGAACACGCATGAAAATAAAAATCATTATTACGTGGTCATCGCATCTGCATTTGCTCCTCAGACTGCTCGTGTTGGCCTAAGCAGCCGCAGAGTCAGGGGATTTTTCAGAAGCCCACCCTCCGTACAGTTTTTGAAGACCTGGAGTGGAACGGTTGGAAGTTAGGAAGGGAACAGACTGGCAGATGGCTGGGAGGAAGGACCGTGAGGAGGAGCTGCCAGGCTACTGAGGATGAGCCGCAGCGCGGCCAGAGATAGGCCTCTGCCTGAGACTTCTGTATCATCCTGAGGAGAGATGAGGACGTGGACATCCAACCCGGAATCTGCCCCAGATCCCTCAGCTCTTCGTCACTCCTTGTTGGACGTTGCCTCCGTTTCCACCCGCACGGAAAACCCACTGCCTTCAAATTGGTCCCCACTCACAGCCACCCCAGGTAGGGTTCCCGAGACCCTAAATCTCTACAGGAGCAGACATACCTCCTCTTCTCCTGAGGTGCAGCTGGTGGGTTTGAACCACTGACCGTGTGGTCAGCAGCCCAACGCCCAACCCACAGCGCAAGGAAGACACTTCCTAGTTACCTCATCTCTCATTCCTCTCTTCCTTGTCTCTCCTGGAGTCTCTGCTACCTCAACTGCGTCTTTATAAAGGGGGTTTCCTCCAGGTTCTTCTCTCCCATGGTTCCTTTCCACCTCACTGCTGTCCAGGTTCACTGGCCCCTTCAGTGACCACAAGACTTGTGTTTTCTTCTGTCCACTGTCACTGGTACCCAACTCCCTGTGATGGATCTGACGTGCCTCAGTCTATCCCTCCTTGTAGAGCCCCACCCAGGAGCACCAGCCCCTACCCATCCACCTTGGAGTTGTCTCTAAGTTAAAGCAACTCTTGTCTTTCCCTACGATACTGCCGCTCATTCGTTCATTTCATTTCATGCATACCTATCAAGCTTCTATGAGTCTGCAGAGATGACTAGTGAGATAGCATCTCAAGAAATTGATGACCTCATTGTAAAGATAAACAAGTTTGCTGAAATCTATGGGGCAGCTACATTAGCTCTACAAGCAGCGATGGCCTTTCACCCCACCCCTGATTCGGATGCACCGTCATGCCTGTGGCTCTCCCTTCGCTCAGCAGGTTTTTCCTGCTGTGTAATGACTTCACGTTCCAGCCTCTCACTTGATCTTTGCAGAAATGTTCCACAGGCTGTCTTCCCCAGACATACGTCCCTCCGCAGGCTTCCAAGTACTGTCCTCTCCTGGTTTTCAGAAGATAGTTAAGCCTTACGTGGACATCACTTCTAAACTAAAGCGTTTTATACTGGAGGGAATATCTGTCATTATATATGGCATTCTATCTGTGCCTGTTCCAACCCAAAATGTTAGTATACGGTGCTGAGATGGAAGAGCCTTGGATAAGTCTTTGTGGTTGGGGCTCTCCTGGGCACTGTAGGATGTTCAGCGACAATCTCTAGAAAAAGACATCGTGCTTGATAAAGTAGAGGGTCAGCGAAAGAGAGGAAGATCTTCAACAAGATGGTGGCTACACCAGTGGACACAACATACCTACTGTTGTAAGGATGGCATGTTGTTAGTGCCGTCAGGTCAATTTCGACTCATAGAGACCATGTATAGGGTTTCCGAGGAGCGGCTGGGGGGTTTGAGCTGCCGACCTGGCGGTTCACAGTCCAGTGCTGATCGTACAACGCCACACCTGGAGTCCGTGAGGATGACAAAGGACCGGGCAATGTTGTGCTCTGTTATTAAGGTTGCTATGAAGCAAAGCCAACTTGAAAGCACCCAACCCAATCCAACCCACTAGAGGCCAGTAGCAGCCTCCCAGTGGGACAGCCAAAAATATCTCTTGACATAAATGTCCTCTGGAGGACAAAATGGAACCCTGAGAAAACCCAGTGTTCCAGACTGAAGCCTACTCGAGGGCAGTCTGTTTCCCTGTGGGCCTTGGAAGCATTTCAACTATATGACTGGAGGTCTTAGGGATCATTTTTCCTATAGCTTCATTGTTGTTGTTAAGTGCTGTCGAGTTGGTTCCGATTCATAGCAACCCTGTACAGGGTTTCCAAGGAGCGGAGGGTGGGTTTGAACCGTCAGCCTTGTGGTTGGCAGTCCAGTGCTGATCCTACAGAGCCACACCATTGCCACAATTACAGTAACTGACACCGAGCAGAGTCACGAATGCCGAAGTGACATCCAGAAAAACATGTTGATCTCTAGAGATGGGATTTTACAGTCCATCTAACTTGTAAATGCCCACATGGTACCTTGATGCCCTATGGGTATATTGGCACACTTGGCAATAAAACAAAATCATGATATTTAAAGATGTTGTTGTCATTTACATCCCATTTTCAGTACCATCAAAAGGACCAGCTCTTCTGAACGAGTCTCCCCTGGTGGTCGAAGAGAGAGCTCTGGGGACTCAAAAGGAAATCGGAATCGAACAGGCTCCACCAGCAGTTCATCCAGCGGTAAAAAGAACAGTGAAAGGTGAGGGGAAACTTGACCTCTGGCTTCTGCTGTTCAGGCCTTGGATTTCTTGAACTTTTTAGTGAGATTTGGGTGAAAGTTTACGGAGTAAATTGAGTTTACAACGTTCAACAGTTCAAACACATTTTGGTTCATGACATTGATTCCAACGCCCGCCTTGTAACAGCAGTGTTCCCACCTCCTCCCTGCTGTGTTTGCCGTTTCTGTTCATCCTTCTTTCAAATCCCTTCCTGTCCTCTTGAGTTTTATTCCTGGGGACCTGCTGCCCCTTTGGATCTTGAATGGTTGAGGGTTAAGGAGTGGGTATGTTCAGGTATTATGTCATCTGTTGACCCCAGAGATGGTACAGAAAGATCCTCTGATGGTGGGATGAGCTAGGAGTGCTCCTCAAGCAGGCCAGTGGTGAGGGGATTCTTGGATCCTGTTAAGAGCCTGCTGAGGGCAGCTGCCCATTGAAGTTCAGTTACTGCTCAGTTAGGAAACTGACCCTCAGCCCACAGCATTCTTAACGCAGATGGACGTCTTTCCTGAGACTTTCCTTAGAACCAAGTATGCACCTTGGCAAGCTGTTCTGAATTTCCATATGAAGCTTCTCGTGTTTCTAGTACACCCTGCTACCATTTTAAAACTAATTTTAATGGACTGTTTTAAGATCAGAAGCTGGATTTTGAGGCCAAGTAGGTGAAATGTACTTTTACGATTTGTAAGAACATAGTTTTACTTGCGCCAATGCTGGGAATATGAACCATTTTTTCTTTCTGGTTTCGTGAAATTCAGTCACTCCTAATTTGGGATTTTTCTATGGAGTTGGTTTATAATTATTATCACAAATGTCGGTGAAGTAGACTGTTGTTGTTAAGTGCCATTGAGTCAGTTCCAACTCATAGCTACCCTGTATAGGGTTTCCAAAGAGTGGGCTGGTGAGTTTGAACCACCGACCTTATGGTTCAAACCAACCTTGCAGTCAAGTGCTTATCCTACAGCGCCACACCAGGATAGTAACATTTTATTAGCACAAATGAAGTGGCCACATTTTAACAGCTTCTTTCTTGTTTAATTGGAATAGTGCTCCGGGTTAATGTCTTAGACTGCAAAGTCAGTTTGAACGGCAAGGGCAGTGGCACTTCAATCTTAACAGCCGCTCTCGGAAACCCTATCAGGGTCACTACGAATCAGAACCAGTACTTGGTGCTTGGCAACAACAACAATCTCACTTTTTAAGGACCTTGGTAGCGTAGTGGGTTCTGAGCGGGGCTGCTACCCACAAGGTCAGCAGTTTGAATCTACCAGCCACCCTGGCAGGAGAGAGAGGAGGCTTTCTGCTCTCATAAAGATGTAGTGGTAGTGGTGATTATGTGCTATGGAGTCGGTTCCGACTCATAGCGACCCTGAACAGGGTTTCCGAGGCTGAAATGTTTGTGGGAGCAGAAAGCCTCATTTTTCTCCCGCGGAACAGCTAGTAGTTTCAAACAGCTGACTCTGAGGTTAGCAGCCCGATTCGTACCACTATGCTACCAGGGCTCCTTCCCATAAAGATAAACAGCCTCGGAAACCCTGCACAGGGTGGCTATGAGTTGGAACACACTCCACGGCACATAACCACCACTACCTTTATGTACATGAGATCAGATACTTGATTTCTGTCTGACACTGTGTGGCGCTGTGGGTTAATGCACTGGACTGCAAAGCCATTTGAACTTCAAGGTCAGCGGTTCAAGCTTACCAACTGCTCCTCAGAAACCCTGTATAAGGTCACTATGGATCCAAACCACCTCAACAGCACTTAATAACAACAACAACCACAACACATTATACTTTAATTTTGTTCTCTCAGACAAGGCTTGGTGAAGGAATTTTAGCTTCATAGTCTTTTAACATGTTTTGTTGATTTTTCCCCCCTCCACAATGTTCGTGCAAAGAGAAGGCTTAGTCATAAAGTGGTTAGTTAACTTCAGCCCACGGACTGTAAAAATTCCACGACTCGGTCTCTTTAAAGGAAATTAAACTCCTTTTCAGTTTTATTTTCAGAAGATATCTTCTGTGGGAAAAAGGAAAAACGGAAGTGCTTCTCACCTCATACCTAGGGTCCGTTGTAATTCAAGACTGTTGACGTGGGATTCCATTTTATTCTGATTTAAATTGCTCTTACTTCTTATCAGAAGATTATACCAGTTGAGTGATATTGTGTTCCATTGAGTTTGTTCCAACTCATAACAACACTGTGTAGGTTTTGGAGAAGTGGCTGGTGGCTTTGAACCGCCGACCTTGTGGTTAGCAGTCAATGCTCACCCTACAGAGCCACAGCAGAGCTCCAGTTGAGTGATGTTGTTGTTGCCAGGTGCTGTGGAGTCAGCTCCGACCCATTCTGACCCATAGTGACTACAGAAGGCAGTACCGCCCACTTCTGCACCTGCCTCACAATGGCTGCAGTGCTTGAGACCCATGGCTGCTGTCACTGTGCTAGTCCTAAGGGTTTCAGTGGCTAATCATTCAGAAGTAGCCCACCCTCCTTCCTCCCAGTCTGTCTTTGTGTGGAAGCTCAGCTGAAATCTGTCCATTATGGGTGACCCTGCTGCCATTCAAAATACCCACGGCATCTCTTCCGGCGTCAAAGCAACACGCAGGTCCCCACAGTGTAACACTCTTGACAGCGGTTGGTGGAGTTGGGTGGTAATGCTTTGGAAATCAGGCTAAGTGATTACAATGCCAACAGAATGTGAGTTAGTGGATGGGGCTTTCTGGCCTTGGGCTTCTCTGTTCAATATAAGCTTTGTGGTTGGCCCGAAATGGCTAGCTCTTGGCCACACTGAACAATTTGGACCCTTTATTGCACATCTGAGTTTTATTAAAAATTTCCACAAAGAATCTGCATTGTGCAAACTCCAGATCTGTTTTATCTTTTAATTCCTAAGGCTTTGGTAAATGTGCTGGGTCAATATTTCCATAAAAGATATTTACAAAGGGATTTTTTTTTTTTTTAAGGCCGCTGTAGGAAATTATGAGTTGCGAGTGAGGGACTAGGAAAATGTAGGAATCATTTTCTAAAAATAATTCAAGCAACTAAGCATGTTCATTTCAAAATAAAGTCTTTGTCTTCTTGTCGTTGTTGTTGTTACGGGGTTGTCCGGTCGGTTCCAATTCCTAGTGATCTCATGTACAAGAGGACAAAACACTGCGGGTCCGGTGCCACCCTCAGAATTGGCGCTGTGTTTGAGTCCATTTTTTGCAACCACTTGTCAGTCCCATCGTGCTGAGGGTCTTTTCTCTTTCACTGACCCTCTACTTTAGCAGCCATGAGGTCCTTCCCCAGGACTTACTCCCTCCTTATAACATATTCAAAGCCTATGATAGGCAGTCTCACCATCTTCCCTTCTAGGGAACATTCTAAGTGTACAAGGGGGCTTCAGAAAGTTCATGGAAAGA